GTTTTTTTTTTTGAGGGGGGGTATGTTAATTATTTTCTCATAGTTTTAGTTTCCTCATTTAGTCTCCTCATTAAAGGAGAATTTGAATAACCCTCTGACAAGGTAAATGTGGGGAGATAATAAAGATACGATGGTGTGTTAGAGCACTTGATGGCAACTAAGAAGGTACTATGCCAATGACAAGTACTTTCGTGTCCCAACTTTTGTGGAAGGCATGGAATCCTGTCACTGAGACACGCTGCTGCTGGCCCTTCTTTTATCGTTGAGGATAGACACCCAGAGCTGTGAAGAGTACTTGTTCCTCAGGCGCCTTTCATGACTGTGTGGTGGTATTTCCAGAAAGCTGTAATTGCTCTTTAAAATGAAGGAAGGGGAATAAGCCTTTCCCTTATTAAAGAAGTTGGATTAATATAGTCAGGAATAGCCTACAGTTTGCTTGATGATGATGATGCAGAGAAGATATCATGCTAGATTTTGGAGTTTCACCAACAGTACACTTGTCCTCCAGATCCGGAACACAGAGGGAACACAATTGTCCCAGCGACCAGTTCCTGACGAATTTATCCTGTGTCGGAAAAACTGCTGCGCTTGTTGGTGTCTGGCGGACTGCTTAGAGCAGCCCTGTCTGATGGAGAAGACGGGTCACTTGCATGGTTTTAAATTAGTAGCTTTATTTAAAAACAGTTGTAGAAACAAGTGAAAATAATGTAATGTTTTATTTAACTCCATGTATTCTGAATATTATTTCTACATCAGTTAATTTAAAAAACATTCATGGTATATTTATTTCTTTTTTGGTATCAAATCATTGAAGTTGAGTATGTATTTTATACTTATAGCACATCTCAATTCAGGACTAGCCGTATTTCAGGTGCTCAATTGCCACATGTAGTTAGTGGCTGTTGTATTGGATAGGCTGTTTTAAGGTATGGTGCTTCTAACAACACTTTCACTGTTTCTACATGGGGCATATTGAATATTTTAGGCAGCTATTATTTGCATCTTATACAATCAAGCCACTCGGTGATTATTAGTAATATTTTCATTATGAAGAAATGCTTTTTACTAAGTATCATGAGCATTGATTATGGGACACAGGAAAAAAATTATTGGTCTCTTTTTTCCTCTATAAAATGGTATTAATACTGATTTTGAAAAAAGAAAAACAAAGAGGTTCCATTGTTCAAAGGCTCTCTGTCAGACAGCTTAACTGTGTTACACTGTTGGTCCTCACCACAACTCTGTGATGTCGATATTATTGTCTGCATTTTGCCCAGGAGGAATCTGTGCCTCAGGGAAGTCAGATAAACTGTCTGAGGTCCTTTCCTCTGGAGAGGAGTGACAGTGCCAGGATCTGATTCGAGAGGCGCCCGACTCCTGAGCGGAACTAGTTGCCCGCACTATACCCATCTCCCTGCCATGTCTGTTCTCAGGGCTGTGGTGGTGAAGATCAGGCTAACGCTTTGTAATTATGCAAACTGCAGACATAATGAATGTCACAATGGAAAGGACGATTTGGGCAGCGTAACTGATGACAGCTGGGTACGCATGTCGTGCTTCTCCTGCCTCTGCGACGGCAGAGCTCACCACTATCCCACTGTCGGGACAACCTGTAGTTTCTGCACACAGCGCTGCCTGTCTGTAGGATCAAACTGCCTGCTTACCGCCCGCACCTGTAAAAAGCTTAGTGAGGCTTTCGATGCAAAGTTCAAAGTTCTCTACTTGGTCATCTGGAAATGGGTCTGTGCTTCAATCAAAGAAAAATAATGCCATAAACCCTCGATGTAGGGCTAGAGCAAGAGTTTCTTTTTTATTTTTGATTTTTTTCTAAATTTTGTTGTAAATACCTTTTAGGATTACATTGCTCCTCTTTATTTGAACATACCTTTTAATTTTTCCCATTCTTTTTTTTTTTTTGCACTCCTTTCCAAACACTCTCCCTGTATTTTTATCCATTGTCACTTTTTTCTCTTTTCTTTTTTTTTCTCTTTGTGTCTGGAGAGAGTCAGAGGACCAAATGGATAAATATCTTTTTTTGGCATATTTCTACTCATCCTTTTATTGTTTCCTTCCCCAAGGATTTACTCTTCGCAGGGGCTTTGAGAACCTATACATTAATTTTCTTTTTTCTCACACTTGGCTTCAGTTGTACTGGTTTTCATTTCTTTTGTCATTGTCACTAGTAATTGAATCTATTTTTCTTGTCTTCCCTTTCTTTTGTAAAAGTAGAATTTCATTGTAGAAATTCATAATTGTTTAGATCAGTGAAATTCTAATAAGGAAGTTTATTTTTCTAGGGATTAAATAGAACCTGTTTATGATATTCTTTGATATACATATGGGCTTTTAGAACAAACCTATTATACTCTTCTGGTTAATATTGTTTTATTTTATACATTACCTCAAAGTCCTTGTGTTTTTGTTTCTAAAAATGTAGGTAATGCATATGAGGGATGAGTGTTTGCTTTTTGGCTGTAAGGAGTTATGGTTGTCATATCAGATAACAGTTGCTTCCTTCAGTCACTGAACTGAAAGGTTTAAAAAGGATTTCCATCATTGATACTTTCAAAGTATAAGGTCCTACACGGAGTAGACCCTTGTGCGTTAATGTTTTATTTCATATCAACCTCATTGAACTGTTAATATTATTTTTAAGAATTAATAGGGCCTTACGTTTTCTCAGTTGACCATACACTTGAGGAGGATTTATGGTTCCTAAGTAATGGAGGCGCGATAGCGTATGGAGCAACTGGACTCATTTAAGGGTCTTATCTTAACTCCCAGATGTGCGACACTCAGGTGTTGACATTAGGAACTGCACATGGATTCTCAGCATCGAAACTTATGTACACACAGGTATTAGCGGTAAAGTAGCTTATGGCACCACTGACTACATGACCCTGTGTGTGCATATATTTAAATCATTAAAAATAGAAATCCACCTGCTTCCTCGGACCAGGACTGTATAGCAGTATGGAAGAGTTAAAAGGTCTAAATGGGGGCTATTCCCTGCTGGTAAGGACTCTCAGGAATGGGTCCTATAAATGCCATTCCGCTTGCTCAGGAAGATTTTACAACATCTGCGGCCGCAGAGGGCAGGGGCCACAGCAGACTTGGTCTACTTGTACCCCTGGGGCCACAGGGATACCTGGCACACAGTAGGTGTTCAGGGAATGAAAAGTGGATAAATGGATGACCCCAGAGATAATTTTCAGGACATACAATTTTTATTATTCACTATATGTCTTACCTACATTTGGGAATAAACTGAACATAAGTAAATAAGCATTTGAGATGCTTCTCAGTACTGGTCACAATTAAAAATAATTTTTGTAAGGCACTATGTGGCCAGGATAAATTATATTCTTTGTCTAAAACAGTCTGATCCGTCCTTATTTCCTATTTTCCATAAATCTATAGCATAGATAGTATATTCGCTGGAAACAGTCATGCTGCTTTGTTGTTCTTAGGAATGAACACCAAGTCAGTGGCTCTCCCAGGAATGATATGGTGTGACTTGTTAGACTGTTGTGAGGCTTAATAATAATTACCATGGTCTTCAGTGATAACAGTTCTTAATGAGTATTATTATTGCTAATAATGATTATATTTAATAATTATACCCAATATTTATCATATTTAATAATAATAATTAGCACATGGGAACCAGTTGTACCATTGTATTATCTTCAGAACAAAAATCTAAATCTGTGACCTGGTAGTTTGCAGAGTCTCTGCTCCTACCCTCTTCTTTCCAGATCAGAGTGAGTCAGGAGGCTTCTGGGGTCCGGGCAGCAGGGAGGGGCTTCTGGATAACTCCTGTGCATTCTTTAAGTCATTTTACACAGAGGTGTTATATTCACTGTGAAGTGCCTTCACAATGACCAGTGGATCCCCCATCTCCCCCATGTCTCTGCCTGCCCATCCATCTTTCATAAGTTTTGATTTTTCCTGCACAAAGAGAAGACACAGAGCAGATCGTTATTCCGTAACCCACTAATTTGTGTGGCGTGCATAGGACAGAGTCCATGTTTGTTACATGTATGTTGGTAAAACTTTGATCTTCTTATGCCTGGCTATGTTTAGATTTAAATGTCTGTATGACTTTTAAAAAAAATAAAAAACAGTTTATAAAAATCTTTGGCAAATTAAACATTTTTTAGCTTTTCACACTTTGATACAAAGCAGAGAAATATTTCAGTGACAACAGATTTCAACAGATTTTCAACTAGACTAATTTGCTTTATTCTTTAGGGTAGTTTACTTCTTTTCTCTGGAAACACAAGAAGAGATAATCCCTCTCTAGTGGTAATGGGTATTAATGTATGAACTCATAATTTTTAAAAAGACAAAGCTTTGTATTTTGATGCATATTTTGACATAAGTTAAACATCAGTTAGGATTTTCATGAACAGGGTATTTCCAGGCTAATTGATAACATATTTATCAGGATTCAGAAAAATAACATATAGGAGAAACTTCTTTTAAATACCTGTTGATTTTTTTGTACATATTCATATAATAGCATAGGCCCTGAAGTCAAATGGGCCACCTTATTAGGTAATTTACAACATTTCCTGACAAAAGCAGATCTGATCTGAAAATATGAGCCCTGATTAAGAGTCAGTGATAAAACTGTAGACATGAATGAAGGGTGTGAGTGTCTAGAAGATCACCTTGACCTCACCTGTGTGCCACCTCTGAACTTAAGGCCCCTCAGTCAGGACACCTCTGATGGGTGCACTGTACTTTTTAATGACTAGAATCTGGGGGCTCTTGCCATGGCCTGGGGCAGTTCTGTTGCAGTCTGGTAGTAATAATGGAGGGGAAAAAAACCCACAGCTTTCCCATTAGGCCCATCTGACTAAGAGGCTTGTTTAATCTAAACTACTGTCGATCACAGATGAGTGACTTTTATAACTGTCTCTTCCCTTCCTATCATGGTGAATGAGATTTGCTTTGTAATGTTTGTGTTTTGCTTTTGAATCTTGTCTCTCCAGGTTTGATGATACCTGTCTTTTGTGTGGTGGAGCAGTTGGATGGCTCTCTCGAATACGACAACAGAGAAGAACATGCTGAGTTTGTCCTGGTTCGAAAAGATGTGCTTTTTAGCCAGCTGGTGGAGACTGCGCTCCTGGCCCTGGGGTACTCCCACAGCTCTGCGGCTCAGGCACAAGGTATTAATGCCTCTCTCCTCTCCTCCTCATGCCTTTTGTCTGTCATGATTTGGGGAAGAATGTGTTCCCCGAAATAATTCTCCAAACAGGGGTTGGAGGAAAATGGTCAAATTTAGCATCTTTTCCAAACAGTGAATGGCAGGCAGAATGTTTTTTGCAGTCACGTTTTCTGGTTGCTGTAGGAGGTATTTGACCAGCACCTCTAGAGTGACCAAAATCCTCTTGTATTTCAAAGTGGTCACCACAGGGCTTTTTGTTTGTTTGTTTGTTTTGCATTGATAACTCTATTATTTTCTCTTGAGTTTCCATATTGGTATTTTTTGACCCAGTGCTGAGATGTTTGATTCTTATCAAACTTTAATAGATGATTTGTAAGCATTCAGTTTTTAAAATGTATTTACCACAGCATTTGCACTTTATAATCAGCTTTTCATTAAATAGAAAAAAATGGATGCATCTCACTGTACTTTTACATATTTGAAAACTCTCTTTATTTTGATGTAGTCCTATTCATTTAAAAAAATCTCAGTATCTTTGTGATTAATTCCTCTTACCTATTTAATAAAATATTAAAATTGCATCATTATTTCAGCATTTATTGTACAGCACTGGGGAGCTCATTGTGAGCTTGTGTTGCTGCATTCTGAAGCATAGCCCATTGTTCTTTCTGCCAAAGAATTGACAAAGCAAATAACAACAAAAATGCCCCCAAACCTTGAAAAATGGAAAATCTTTTTGACCCAATGGAATGATTATTCTTGTTTTTCAGCTGAATTGATTGAATTGTATAGTTTATGATAATAGTTTATGAGGAGAGAAACATGTGACTTCCAGGTTTTGTTTTATATATTCATTGCCTATGTATGTTCCTATAAATTACCACCTTAACATTTGTGTATGGGCCAAGGATCTTTGCTACTTTTTAAACGAGTTCTTCTTTATATAATTCCTAAGAGCTATTAGTCAGAGAGTCTATTTATTTAGATAAGGAAACTCTGAGAGATTAAGGCATTTATGCAAAGTTACAAATATGGTGACCAAAGACATAGGATTTAAATGATCAAGCTCTCGTCTCTGGTTCTGTAAGCAGATCATTACTTTAAAAAAATGCTGTAATTTGAATGCTGTATTCAAATTATATCTTAGTTCTTCAAAGATAGCAATCCATCAGAAACTGAGGGGTCCAGAATGTTTTCCCAAGCCAGGCAGTGCCCCAAAGATGACTGTGAGTACAAGTATATTCTGGAGCGCTTGGCCTATCTGGTGCCGCAGTACAGCTGAATTGTAGAGTCTGCTGCTTTGAAAGCAGTGTAATAAAGGATGATTCATTTTCTTTCTCTGAGGACTTTTCTTCTTGTGAGAGGGATTTAAGATCTGATCTTGAGCAAATTGCATACTGGCACCATTGCTTTTATTTCATGCTATCTGCCTAAATGAAATAAAAGAATACCCCCTTTCCCCCATAAACTTTTCATGCCATTTTAGGGATATTTTTCTCTGAATGTAAAGGTCATTGTATCCCACTGCTTGCATCCTGGTGTGCCAGCTTCCTGTTTGACAGGGCTATCCATCTCAGTTAGCACGGCTGCTCAACGCGCCGTGAGCTCACATGTGGAGCACAGAGCACTAAGTGGCCAAGATTTGATTCTTGGCACAGGCTCAGGGAAGGGGCGCTCAGGAAATTTGCACTAGGGAGCCACACTGTTCCATTCAGTGATATGAACCGAGAGTTCTGCACACCCAGGTGAGATGCACTAGCAAGAAATATCATCTACAGTGGAGGATTAAACAGCAGAGAAGTCAAAAGCGAGTATTTGCTTTCCCAAAGTTTTTGAAAACCATGGTTAAAAAATACTATTACACTTTTAAGCAAGTTGAATCAACATTCTGAAGGAACTCCTAGATCACAGATATGCTTTATTTTGTAGGTAAGCAAAGGTTTTATCACTAGGTCCTATACTGTCATCTCACAGAGGGAAACAAAAATCAAAGTTTGTTTATTTTGTTTTAAAGTAAGCTACCAATCTCTGATTTGGGTAAATAGAAAAACTTAAAACTGTATACTTTAAGATGAAAATATTAGATCTTTCTTGTCATTTAGATCATCAAATGTGTACAGTTTGTTGCATGTTTGTTGTAGAACAAACAGAATGCGTGATAAGACAGGTGGTGGTCCATGTGCTGGACAAACAGCAGAGTGGGGAACAGCTAGAAAAGGCAGGAGAACAAAATACGACTGCATGGGCAAGGCCTGAGGTTTCACGTCTCTAGTTTCCTGTTTTGATTTGTGTTGGTTTTGTTTGTTGGTGTTCAGGTCATTTTCCAGAGGTGGGGAAGTCACTGGCAAATCCGTTTGCAGTATAGATACTGAGTATACCTGAGCCACTTGTTCCTGTGCTGGAAAAGTTGGGCAAAGCCAAGCTGTAAGGATAGCAGATTGTTTGAGCCTATTTTAAAAATTGAGGCTCTTGAAACATGATTTTTCATTTTGACCAGAAAAGAGTTTCATATAATTGAACCAGAATAGTATTCAGATTGCATTTAAAAAAGAAGATATGTTTGCAGTGTCATTATTTTGGAGTGATACTCCTTGGACTTCTTGGACCCATGTTCTTGTGAATGTGGGAGAGTCAGTTTCTTTTCTGAGAGGGCTTTCTCTCCAGGCGAGCTGTGTAGAGGTTAATAAAGGATATTTGCTTCTAAAGGATGTTAGAAGTTCCACTAAAGTGGAATTCAGGGATTTCCAACTCCTACCCCTACCCTCTTTTTTAATAGAAACCTTCTTTATTTCAAATCAGATATTGGGACCCAAGAGAGATAAAAGCAGGAGATAGTATAATAAATCCTGGGCACTGTGCTTCTAACTTACCCAAACCCTGCATTTCCCAGCATGTATACCATTAACTCTGTGATTCTCAAGGATATAAGATGCAGAATTCATCTGATCTGCTGCTTGGCATATGCAAAAAGCTGAAAGATGGCGGGCTCTTTGCTTTTTCCAGAACAGGTAGGCTAAGGCATCATGAACAGCAATTACATTTTACATTATACAGTAGACTATGGGCCCATGTCGCTGAATCAGAAGTCTTCTAGTCTCTTGAAAGAGGCACATAGAAACTCCCTTCCCAACTTAGAGTCATCAGTTTCTTTATTTTTCTTACTTCTCTTTTCATTCTTTCAGTTCTGCTCAATAAGGCTTTTGGTAACAGCCATGGATTTCTCTACATTGTTCAGAGAGTTTTTTATCCTACCAATTTAAGTAGCTTTTAGTACTTGCCGGTGTGGATGGGAAATGCATTTAATATAATGGTATGTCAATCAAGCAGAGTGCCCTATACAGTCTTAGTTATATAAAATTTCACATGTATGCATAGAAAAAAAAGACAGGAAATATGTCAACAGGGTGTGGGGAGATTAAGTGGGATTTTCTCCTCTTTATAATCAGTAAACAACATATAAGTATGAAATTGTACTTCCATGAATTCTTCTCTTAAAAAACAGGAAGTTATTTCTACCTTATTCCCCAAGTTTGGCGATCAGTTTACTTTGTCCCTAGTTAATCTGTAAATGTGAAAACTTACACATGGTACAGAGGCATTTCTGTTGTTTTTTTCAGTTTAAGATTTTAAAAAAAGAGTCAAGAGGTCATTAATAAGCCCCTATGATGTAAAACCAAGGGATTTCTTAGATTCTTATTAGTAGTGCTAAGTAACATTAATTGAGCAATTACTGTCTGTCAGGCACTATTCTAAAGATTTGCAATTACTGAGTCACTTAATTCTCACAACAGCTCTTTGAAGTAGATGTGTGTCTCCCACTCCATAGATGAGGAAACTGAGGCAAATAAAGAGGGGAAGTAGCTTTCCCAGTGGTATAGGGCTAGTGGGTGGAAGAGCTGAACCCAGTGATGCTCTTCCAGAGCCCAGGTTTTTAGCCACAGGGCTGTCCTGTGGCAGACCTGGCCACAGGGAGCTTAGAGCTGGGGAAGAGTCGATTCTTATTTAATTCTTGTGCTTCACATTTTGACAGAAGCCCTGAAAGGCATGATTTTTTGTATATATGCTGTTGAAGTAAGCACAAGTTAGGACTTTCTGGGTGGGGTGCTTTTGAAATAAATAATAATTATATTTATTTGATAATGATAAATTATACATAGAAAAACTTTTTCAGGGTTAAGTGAGACAGACCTCATTAAAAACAAATAAGTAAACAAACAAAACAAACCTAATAATTATTGTCTGTTGAAGGTTGAGTAATTCATATATACAATTATACAATTCTTGCTTACAAGGCCAGAATGATTACTGAAATGAAAATAAAGCATATTGCTTAGTAATTCTAATCTTCAACATAGTTAATTCAGCAGTATTAAGTGTCTACCATGTGCCAGTCACTATTCTAGGTTCTGGGGATAAAAAACTGAAAAAAGTCTTGTGTTCATGAGCTTCAATTACATGAGAAAAGTTTAGTGTATAGATTATTAGTTGATTTTTGTCCCTTTATGCTCAAAATATCTAATACTTAGGTTCAAAGAATAGAAATACACATAAAATTTGTTTATTAATTTTGGTGCTAATTTATAATTAAATGTTCATTTTATTCCTTAAAAAATACTTTGGAATTCTCTGTCCTCTTGTTAGTTTTTAAAAATAGATGGCAAGATAGGAATGATGGATTAAAAGTTCTAGAAAACTCTTGCCCTGGTTGGTGTGGTTCAGTGGATTGAGTGTCGGTGTGCAAACCTAAAGGTCCCCTGTTGGATTCGCAGCCAGGCCACATGCCTGGGTTGCAGGCCAGGTCCCCAGTTGGGGGCATGCGAGAGAGGCAACCACACATCAATGTTTCTCTCCCTCTTTTTCTCCCTTCCTTCCCCTCTCTCTAAAAATACGTAAATAAAATCTTTAAAAGTTCTAGAAAACTCTTGCTTTTTTCCTCATTAAAGGAAAGCTATTTACTTGCTACTTCTGTTCCTTGTTTCCATTTTAAAAATGGGCCTTTTG